ATGGTACTTGATGACTTGATCCTTTTCTGGCACATTTGTGGTAGTAACCACCTTTCTTATGTGGATAAGGCTTTGGTTACTTTGGTTCTGAGCTGCTTCTGATTGTATTTGAGAGTCTGCACTTTCCATGCCCCACTGCCCCTGCCAGAGGTCCTGTCAGTACCCGCCTTGTGCTACTTAGTCTCTGAGGATGCTGGTGTCTTGCTGTTTATGATGTCACTGCAGTCTCAGGAGTTGCCAACCTGGGGTCACCAAGTTGCCAGAAACTCTGCTTCTTCTAGGTTACCTGGGTCTCATGTTCCCTCACTGGCTTTCCACAAGTTCACTTAGGACTCAAATGCTACTCCCCTGTACACCACTAGTGCTGCTGTTCCTCAGTTATCTGGGTGTGCTGGCAGCACCACTGCCAGGAGCACTTGGTTCGTGGGTGTTGTTGCCCCTGCTGGGGGCCTGGGGAGCTGGGGACTTGTGTGCAACTCCTGCTTCTGATAGAGCTGGTGTAAGGGGTGCTGGGGATTGGGACATGGGTGCTGCTGTGGTTCCTCAAGCCTCATGTTGCAGGTGCCACCTGTCACCACTGGGTGGGGCAGGAGATAAGCAGGGAGTGAGTGCCATTGATGCTCACCCTTGCTGCCTATGGTCACTGGAACTATCCAGTATGTTTTGCAAACTCAGGTTTAGAGTACCCACCTTACTGGAAATATGTGAGTTTTGGAAACTATCTCCAATGTTGGAAAGCCAGGCTTCTGCTGGGGGAAGGAAAAGGGGTTTTGTCACTGACTCTGCTCTGCATCCTGAATCCTCAGAATGTGTGCACCATTGACTACTGCTTCGGGTCAGGGAGCAGCGACTAAGCCCCTCATGCTGTGTCTCCTCCTGCAGTCTCTGTTTGCAGGCGTGTGCACCACTGCGAGGATCCACATTTTGGATTACTCAGCTGGAAAAGGGTGAAGGGGCTGTTCTCCAAATCCACTGCCTTCCAGAGGTCCAGTCCACCTACCTTTAGGCGTGCAGATGCATAGATCTCTTAGGTGTTCTTATGTGCTGTGTAGGGAGTCCTTTGTTGGTCAATGGATGTCCCATTGGTTGTAACTTAAAGGGGAGAGAAAAAGGAATAACTTGCACCACCATGATGCTGATGTCACCATAATCTGGCTTTTTGAAGACATAGGAAGGTGTTTCATGAAAGAAAGATCTGCCTGGCCCAGAGAACCTGGACTATCCCTAAAAGAATATGAGTCAAATCAGAATTTTCTTATCTCCCTGTCTCTCTCCTTTTCTTATACCCTAAGAATGTCAGAAACTATTTTTAGTAGCTGGCAGAGAAAAAGTATAAGTAAAGGAGAGAAAGAAGGAGAAGTCTTAATTTTGAATCAATGAAATTTTAATTATTATACAGGCCTGAATATTCTGATTTCTGAATGGAGACATTGAGCTTCATGTCATAGGAAATGGAGACCCATTGAAGGTTTGTTTTAAGTGAGCTTGTGACAAAACCAGAGCTTTGTGTTCAGAATGTTGACCTCGTCATAGAGAGAAAGATGGCTGCAGGGACAAGATACTTGAGGAGGAGATCCTAGACAGAGCATAACAGGACTTGTCCAGGGGAAGAATGAGAGGCCTCAATGGATAAAGTCAGGACTCTACATGAGTCAATCCTTTGTACTTGGTTAAACTCAATTTATGAGTTTGAACCAGAGTTTCTTAAAATTAGTGATATCTTCAACAGAGAAAAATCCAGGAGGCAATTCAGACAGAGTTTACACCAGACATAATTAGATTTTGGGGTGAAAACAGCTCTGGGAGAGCATGTCCAGTGGGGATCTAAATACAGGGTCTGTTCCCATTACAGTCATCCATCTGCTGCCTTGCAGAGAGCTCAGCCTGTCTTTGTATGTATGGTAAAATACACATAACATAAAATTTACCATTGTAATGATATTTAAGTGCACAATTCAGTGACATTAAGTTCATTCACAATATTACCACCACTGCCCATTTCCAGAAACTTGTCATCATCCCCAACAGAATGTCTGTACCCATTACACAGCAAGTAAACCTATAAAACTCTATCTTCCCAGCCCCAGCCTTTGGAGACTTGTGTTTTCCCATGTCATACTCTTAAGTAGCAGCCTGTAAAGAAGATCCTCCTGTGTGAGACCTTAAGTTTATTAGGTTTATAACAGTGAAACTCATGAATGACCAGCAATTGCCATATATGAAGGGCCATAAGTGGCCAAAGACAGGTCTCAAGGTGACCACCTTGGTGATGCTGGGGGTTCTTGACTCTCATGGGGAGTCTGGTCCTCCTCCATTTTCACCTGGGGCTGCCCCTGTAGGAGGTTGAGGTGAGAAAATGGGGACTGCATGGGTTCTGTTTGTAGAGATACCAATGTATTTTTCCTGGACTGGGAGCTGGGCATCACTTGCTTTTGAAATCTTCCCAGCTGTTTCTGACACAGAGCCAAGGTTGAGGAACACTGGGTAGGACATTCTTCATCCCCACAGTCAGTGGTGGGAACATCTTTTGCCTTCCTGAAGAATACTAAGGATGAAGAGAGACAAAACAGGTAAACTTTCCAGGACAATGTCAAGACCATAGGGGTGATTAATGCATGTAAACTCCTACTGTTTTAGAAATACTAATAATAGTTGATAATATTTATTGTTTTATTTTATCCATTTATTCAATTTATTATCAAACAACCGTAATATGAATATTGTATCACAGAAAGATAAAGTCATAATAGAGGGATGCATATGTCTGTGTGCGTACTTGTTTGTGTCTGTGTGTTTGTGTGTTTATCTGCATCTGTGTGCATGTCTGATTGTGCATGGCTCTGTATGTGTCTGTCTGTGTGTGTAAAAATGTGTACCTCTGTGTGTGTTTTTGAGTATAAAATGTCTTTATGTGTATAAAGCTTCTTTTAGCATACCGGTCTCAGAGAGGGCTTCACAGAGGATGAGATGTGAAATATCCTATAAATAAGATGTCAACTGTCCTGTGCAGGGAAGGATATAGAGGCAAAGGGGACACCACAGGCCTGGTGTAAAGGTATGATTCAGTGTGATGCATCGGTGAATGGCATATAGACAAACATGGTTGAACACAGAATCTTTGGTGAGCAGGAAGGTGAGATCAGATGGATGCCCAGGGATGGGTACTTGGAAGTCCTAGTATGTAACACCAGTGGTGGGACTGGATCCTCCAGCAGTGATTTCAAACGAGGTTTCTCAGGCTGTTGCATGAGCTCCATGAATCCTTGTGTCCATCCAACATAGTATGTAGATTGAATATGTAATATGTTTCACAAAGTAGAGACTAATTTAAACATACATATTTCCTGATGTGAATAAAAGTACACTTTTATTGTAAAAGCATTGCTGATAATTGATAATAGTAGATAACTATCTTCTATTTTATCAATCAGAGTTCGTATAAATATATTTATTATTATTTGAGTGTGGGTTTAGGATTAATAATAGGTCCTCTTACTTGAAACATTTGGAAACATATGCCAACTGGTAATTCAGGGTTACAGAAATGAGATCAGATCTACATTTACTTTAAAAGCATGACTTGGGCATCAAGGAGGACAATGTACTGCAGGAAGGTATCTCAGAGCCCAGGAGACCATTTAGGAGACTTTCACGCAAGCTGGGAAGGACTAGGACTGGACTGTGATGATGGCTGTGGGGATGGACAGGAGGGGATGCTCAGAATTGATGCTGTGGCAGTGGAGGGAGCAGAACTTAGTGGACTCTTAGATGTTAGGAGGGAAATGAGATGTACTAAGCTCATAAAAGTCCCCAAAATATCTACATCCTAATCACTGAACCTTGTAATATTATCCTTTCTTGGCAAAAAAGGGCTTTGCAGATGTGACAAAGTAACAGCTTTTGAGATGGGTAGATTTTTCTCAGTTTTCTGGTGTCCTCTAAAGGCAATCTGATACATTTTGTATGAAGGAGGCAGAGGAAGATTTTACACATTCAGAAGGGGGTTCAATGTGACCTCATGGGGCAGAGATTGGAACAATGTGGACAGAAGACAAGGAATACCATCAGCCACCAAAGCTGGAAGCAGCTTTGAGATTTTCACCTTGACTTTCCAGAGGGAGCATGGCCCTCCCGACACAATGATTTTTGTTGAGTGTTAGAGATTTTGGACTTCTGTCCTCCAAACTTTGAGAAAATAAGCTGATTTAAGCCACTAAATGTGTGGTAGTGTGTTACAGCAGCCACTGGAAACTAACCCAAATTTTCTGAGTCAGGTGCCTCATGGGTGTTCGGTCCATTAGCCGGGATGGTGGCCCACAGAAAGGAGGAGCAGACAGTGAGTTCAATTTTCTATATTCCTTCAGAAATAACTGTAGAGCGCTTGAATGGAGTTGCCCAGATGGCTGCTGGATGCTTGTTTCTGGATATCTTGGGAGAATTTGAGGGAGAAAGTATTAGCCTGAGGTGTTGGTGTGTCGTGTAGACATTGATGAGCCATGTGAGTGAGTGTACAGAGTAAAAAAGACTTAACTAAAATAGAACCCTGGATGCTCAGTATTAATTGAGAGGTGGGTGAAAACAGTTTACACTGGACAGTTCGTAGGACTGAAACCACAATGTAGGGAAGAGGACCTAGCAGGTTGGTGGTTGTTATGATGAGGCCACAACATTAGTGATGCTGTTGTTTGGGAACCACGTGACTGGGAAGACAGTTAGGCTGCAGGTGTCCCTCAATACAAGACCAGTAGCAGGAACATTTTATTGTTTTTTCCCTTAACCATCCTTTCCACTCATGGCCACAAGAATGGGAAATGTGTAAAGTAATGCAGGATGATTCATGACCGAATATTTCCTCTTGTGATCCCTGCAACTCAGGCTGCCACGGGTAACTGGATGTTGAGTCTCTGAAATTTACTAGTGACAACACCCAATGGTCGCTTCATGATGAAAACCACTCAACTCGAGGCCAGAGACTGTTGGATAATGACAAGAGAAGTAGAGAAGTGCAGGGCAAGTGATTTATTGAAGCAAGATGTTGAAACCTTTACATTTTCCAGCGAAGATCAGGTGATCATGGAAAGATAGAGGTACTATGAGAGAAAATTTAATAAATCCTTGTAACCACACTTCAACAGTATTTTAGCCTGAAATAAAAATAGAAAGAAAGAAAAGGGAGGTCAGTTATGTTGCTCCTGGAGGCGACAAGTTAACACAGACCAAGATGTCAATGAAATTTCAATGAACAAAAGGCAAATGGAAGATACCAGGCAGACCTCAGTGTGTAGGTGAACTAAATATTATCTGTTACAGTTACAACCAACAATGCAAGTCAGGAAAGAACCATTTCCATAGTCCAGCAAATAAACCCTGAGGTGACCCAAGAGCAGGACTCAGGTTTCTATGGAAGGACGGGGTGAAGGTTTGGACAGAGCATTCCAGGATTTCTTTTCTCTGATGTCCCAGGACAGAGGACTCTACTTTTTCACTCTAAAGGGGACACAGCATTGAGAGATCAGGAGAGGGGTGGGAGAGGACTTGGGAAGTACTGCTTTCAGGAGATTCCAAGCCTTGAGGCGTGGAACTTCAACCTAATGGCACATGTGCTTCTCAACACTGAGAATCCAGTGTCTATGGGACTTTGCAGCTGAACTTCATGAGCTAAATCCAGTGGTAGATGGGCTGAGAGACACCTTTAAATATCTGATTTCTTGATAAAGACATAATTTAAGTGTTTCACCTTCAGATGTGGCTGCAGAAGACATAACAAGGAGGGTCTCTGCCCATTGGCCGTGATAAAGAGGAGAGTCATAGGTAAGGAGTGTAAAAGTGGATAGAGGTGCAAGGAGTGGGCCTTGGCTCTTCAGCAGCTGGCAGAGAACCCAGCTAGCCCTGTCCCTCATCCTGGCAGAGGGTGGGAGCTATTTTCCCCTCTCCCCCTGTCTCCCAAATCAACACTCCCAACACTCCCCATGAGATTCCACAGGGACTGTGTGCACTGGGTGAGGGAACTCGCCCTCAGGAAAGCTCCCAGGCAGGGAGGCAGCAGTGCTTTGGCCCTTCAACATCACTGCATGGGGCCCCAGGTGTCCTCATCCTCAGGACACTATGGGGAACCTGGCACCCAGGGATGTGATCTGAGAAGGAAGAACATTCCCAGATGCTCTGTGCAGTCGTGGTATAGCTCCGCAGGTGTAATGTTATCATTCACCCTGTGGCCATGGGTCACTGTATCAGAGATGAGCAGTGAGGCAGGTGCCTCCACCACCCGTGCCCCCCAAGAACAGCACCCCACCTCCTCCCTGGATGTTCACCTGATCAGAAGCCTTTAAGCACAAAGAAGAAAGAAATTACCAGTGCTTTTAAAATTAGCAGTCTGTTCCTAAAGGAGATCTTATCTGTGCATCTCTTCATTTCCAACCTGGCATCAACAGCTTCTCTAGGTGCACCAAATCTCAGAAGTTGTAACTTGTAGGTAAGTTCATAGGAGAAGAAGGAGGATACCATATCAGTAACAATGGCTGGACAGACAACTGCATTGGCTGGAGAAGAAGAGAAAGAAATACAATTGATATAAGGAAAGTTGATTTTTCCTATGGCTCCTGATATTAGAACTAGACAGGTACCCAGGATTCTATTTTCCCATCTTATCTTTGTGCTGATAAGAATGTGAGACCCTCAAGGTCATGATATCCTTAAGTTCACACTGCAAGTGGCAGAGCTAAGTCTGGACACTAGGTGTCCCGATGTCTCGTTTAGTTTTTATCCTTAGTAAAGTACGCCCACTACTTTCCAAGACTCACCTGGTTTGCTGAAATTCCCTTTTCCTAGATTTCAAAAAATTAATTTTTACCTGTCAAAAGAGTGACACCTTATTTTGTCATAGATTTTGGGAAAGAGGAGATTTTAGTAATCAATTTTTCAAGTGAATGGTATAGTCAGATTTTACCAGAGATCAGAAAAGGGAGAAGAAATCTGGAGATAAGTAAGTAAACTATTTGTATGTCGAAAGATGCTATTTTCAGACTAAATTAAAGCATAGGGTTATGTCATTGGATGCAGACAGGGCTAAAAAGTTAAAAGAAGTAAGGTTAATGAGTTTGAATACATTTGAAGTTTATACACAGAATTATGATTGGCTCTTTTATTCTGCAGTGATGTACAGCATTCCTTGGGGAGAGTGAGAAGCGGGAAGTGTGGCTCATTCCTGACCCCACTGGAATTGTGCTGAGACTTGAAGTAACCACTTTTCCTGGTCTGGATTCTCCATCCCCCTAAGTCTTTGAAACCACTCTGCAGCCCAGGACATACCTTACCAGGCACTGGTCTGACCCCTGGTCAGACATCAAACTATGCAGAGAATTTGGAGAGGGTAAAATCAGAGACTCCACAGGGAAAGGGGAGAACAGTTAGAAAGTCAGATGAAAGAGAAAGACTCAACAAGACTTGGGTCAGGATTGAGGGCATGAAGATATGCAAAAGTAGTGTTGAATAAATGGTTAGAATTAATATAGAAAAATAGAAATTGTAGTCCTAATGATTGTACTAGTTCTACTACAATTCCTGGTGATAATCCTAGAAAACTACTCATACTTGTAGACACATTGAGTGCTGCTGATTCACAGAGCCCATTTGAAGATTTATTATTCAGGGTTTCAGAGAACACCAGCTCTTCTTGAACCGAGAACTTTCCAAAAATCCTTCCAGATTATGAGTCTGAATCTATTATTTAAAAAGCTGTGGACTCAACTGGCAGATAAAAATCTCTGGAAGGAGGACATCTGATAACTATGAGATGTCTTCTTCATACACAGATCTGGCTCCTGACTCACACCCTCCCACTCCATTGTCATAGCTATCCTTGCTGGTAGCAGTAAAAGCAACGACAAGAGGAGAGTTGGAGGATTAAGCATTTTGTTCAAGGTCAAAGCACTGGTAAGTGGCAGAGCCATGATTCACTCCACATCTTATTATGTCCTGCTGCTTCTCAAACACAGGTCAGAGGCAAGGCATGAGGCTTCAGGTGGAAAATTCTTAAAATTTGCCTGCAATGATTTTTTGTAAAATTCCAGAGTATGGAGATTTAATAAAATGAGCCCTGGGCTTTTGGGGGACTAGTTCACAAGTAGAGGAAAAGTTTAGATTTTGATTTGTTCACACCCCTAATTAAGTTCACCTAGTTCAGAGAAGGTTACTTCCCAGGGCTGGTGCTGGACTGATTAGAAATGATACTCACCCTCATAGCAGCAAAGGGCCAGAGTGACTAGCAGAACAGAGAGGGACAGCCTCATGGTGGTTTATTTGCTTTGAGCTTTCAGCTTCAGCAAACGATGAGCAATTAGGAGCTGGACTCAAGAGCCTGGGGAGCCCAGGGCTATTTGTACTTAGAGAGCCTCACTGATCCTGCCCACATGGCACATGGTAACTCACAAGGTCTGGCTTCCAGCCCTCCCTTCGTCATCAGGGCTGATTCCAGTCATCTGTATCACACTCTTCAATGATTTGGTCAAAGTTCCCATTTATAGACATTGCTGGCACCATGCACCTCTCCTTTGTAGCAATTACCAAGGTTGTAGCTTTACAAATGTGTAATGAGTTAACAGATGGAAGACCCCCTGGAATTTAGCTCCTTAATTTCAGAACAGTGTCTGGTTTTGCCCATCTTTTCTTAGCACAGTGCCTGGCACAGAGAGGAAGATAAGCAAATATTCCTTGAATAAATGAATGAACGTGAATTAACAAACCCTTAACTTGATTAGGGTGCATTTTAGTATAAAATGATGCCTGCTATGCCATGTTTCTCTTTGGGCAGTTGAAGGAGAAAAGTTTGTAGCATGGTGACAATTATGAAAGAAAGTGGTTTTTGAGACCCCAAGAGAAAGCAGTTTGAAGAGGAAGACTATCTCTTTTACTGCTAATTTCCTACTCTAATGTTTCAAAAATATCACAGAGATTTGAAATCAAATCAAGCTCTAAACTGATAAAAAGAAGCTCCTCTTTAGTTTTACTTGTCAATTAGGATGATCACACTTGCTGAGTCCTCACGGCCCCGCAGTAGAAGAGCCCATAGATGCTTGTCCCCACCTCTCCCAACCATGAGCAGAGTGCTCTCGGGAAATGCGGGTGGAGGTGTGGACAGTTCTGAGTAGATGCATTGGGAAGTGAAGTTGGTTATATAGAGGAGCACATCTGAGTGGCACTCAAGAATATATAGAATTTTGACAGGGAGAAATGTTTGGAGGAGGGATGCTGAGGGAGCAGCAGGAAGGAAGACAAGACAGCATCAACCACATGGCTTGTTGAGGGAACATCAGGAACCCAGGTTACCTGTAAGATACAGTAGCACATAGTAGCACATAGGCTAAGGCTAAGGCTTTGTGACTGGATAGACAAGATGGGCCAAATCAAGGAGATTTTCCATTTTGCTCTCTGGGCAATGGAGGCAGAATGGATGGGTGAGGTGAGAAATATCTAGATTTTTTGCCCCAGTGTTTTCTTGCTGTGTTTCATATCTGAAGTCAATACCACATGGGTTTTTCATGCCCATTTTGACGGCTACTATGCCAAAAAAAGGAAAGAAAAGAAGTGTTAGTAAGGATGTGGAGAAATAGGAACACTTGTGCATTTTTTTGGTGGGAAAGTAAAATGGTGCAGCTGCTAAAGAAAAGAGCCTGGAGGTCCCTCAAAAATTAACAAATGAATTAGGATATGAGAAATCAAGATTACCTCTGATCACATATGCAGAAGAATTACAAGCAGAGTCTCAAATACATATTTGCATATCCATGTTCATAGCAGCCTTATTCACAATATTCAAGAAGTGGAAGCAACCTTACTGTTCATGGACAGATGAACAGATAAACAAAATGTGGTACCTACATATAATGGAATATTATTCATATTCAGCTTATAAAGTAAGGAAATTGTCACATGCTACCACACGAATGAACTTTGGGGACAGTACACTAAGTGAAATAAGCCAGTCACAAAAAGACAAATACTGTATGATTCCATTTGTATGAGGATCTAGAGAAGTCAAATTCATAGAAACAGAGAATAGAACGGTGGTTTCCAGGGGCTAGGAGGAGGAGGACTATAATATTCTATAAAAATTGAGTCATCAAAATAACAGTGAGATGATTATATCTGGAAACATTCTATCATTATCCTGCATACAGGTCCTTTGGGTTGCAAAACCTTCTGTAGCTAATAACAATAGTGGTGATGAAAAGAGCAGCAATATTTTTTGATTGTTAACTATGGCCAGACAATGTGCAAACATAATTTGTCATATTCACTCATTGCTACAAATCTATAAGCTATTATATTTCCCATTTTAACAATTGAGTCAACTAACTCGTAGAAAGTCAGAAACTTACTTCAAATTGCAGTTTGGAAGCCCATAGGTCAAGCTCAGGCATGGATGGTATGTGAATGTAAAGTAACAAAGTGGCACTTGCAGTTGGGATGCCTGCTAGTGGGGACATGTCAGACAGAATGGAGGTGGATGACAGTTAAATTCTATCTCAGCTGCTTGCACCTCAGTTTTGACTCAATTGAATTCTTCTAGTTGATGACTCCTCATCCTACTTCCGTCATTTGTCTCTCTTTGATTCTTTTTCTTCCTTTTCTTTTTAAAAAAGATTATTTATGACATTATGAAATGCTGGCCAAGATGTGAAACAACAGAAACTCTCATTCATTGCTGGTGAAAGTGCAAAATGGTACAGCCACTTTGGAAGACAGTTTGGCAGTTTCTTACAAAACTAAACATACTCTTACCATATGATCAAGCAATTGCACTCCTTGGTATTTACCCAAAGGAACTGAAAACTTATGTCCACACAAAACCTGCACATCATGTTTATAGCAACTTTATTCACAATTGCCAAAACTTGGGAGCAATCAAGATGTACTTCAGTAGGTGAATGGATAAAGAAACTGTGGTACATCCAGACAACGGAATATAGCTCTAAAATTCAGTGGAATTCAGCTCTGAAAAAAATGAGCTGTAAGCCATGAAAAGACATGGAGGAAACTTAAATGCATATTACCACGTGAAAGAAGCCAACCTGAAAATCTATATACTATATGATTCCAACTATATGACATCCTGGAAAAGGCAAAATTATGGAGATGGTCAAAGATGAGTGCTTTCCATGGGTTGGGGGGAAAGAGGGATGAATAGGCAGAGCACAGAGGATTTTCAGGGCAGTGACACTATCCTATATGATACTAGAATGCTGGATAAATGTCTTCATACATCTGCCAAAATCCATAGAATGTACAACCTAAGAGTGAACTCTAATGTAACTTATTGACTGAGTGATAATGTGTCAGTATAGGATCAGCAGTTGTAACAAATATACCATCAGGTGTGGGATGTTCAGAGTGGAAGAGGCTGTGCATGTATAGAAGTAGGGGTATATGGGAACTCTCTGCATTCTCTCCTCAATTTTTCTGTGAACCTAAAAATGCTCTGAAAAATAAAGTCTATGAGAAATGGGAAACACCTTGTTAGAAACATTCTCTTCGAACAAGGAAAAAAATTAGATGAAAAAAATGAATCAATTAATTGTTGCTATAAATATGATGTATACAGATAATTGACCAACTATCAGAGGTTTCTAGAATAAGCTACTGAAGAAAACTATTAGAACAGATAAAAGTTCATGATGTAGCTGAACGCAATATTAGCGTATAACCATCAATTGCTTTCCTATAAACCTATTACCATTACGTGACATAATGGAAAAAATGATTCCTTGGCAATAGGAATAACATCAGCCACAATAATATATTGAAATATACATAAATGGAAATATGAAAACGTTTAAGGGTAAAATCATAAAATTTTACTCACAGATATAAAAAGGAATCTAAAAAAATGGAGGCACACACCTTGATCCTGTAGGAGATACTAGAAAATTTAAAGAAGTCAACTATTCTCAAATTATTCTACAAATTCACTCCAGCCCACAACAGAATCTTAATGGGGCAGTTTTTTATTTATTTTATTTTATTTTTTTTAAGTTTTTGTTTATTGCAGTAACATTGTTCTATAACATTGTATAAATTTCAGATGTACATCATTATACTTATATTTCTGCATAGATTACATCATGTTCACCACCCAAATACTAATTACAACCCATCACCACACACATGTGCCGAATTATCCCTTTTGCCCTCCTCCCTCCCCACTTCCCTTCTGGTAACCACCAATCCAATCTCTGTCTCTATGTGTTTGTTTATTGTTGTTATTATCTACTACTCAATGAAGGAAATCATACGGTATTTGACCTTCTCCCTCTGACTTATTTCACTTTGCATTATACCTTCAATGTCCATCCATGTTGTCACAAATGGCTGGATTTCACCGTTTTTTATGGCTGAATAGTATTCCATTGTGTATATATACCACATCTTCTTTATCCATTCGTCCCTTGATGGGCACTTAGGTTGCTTCCAAGTCTTGGCTATTGTGAATAATGCTGCAATGAACACAGGGGTGCATGTATCTTTATGCATTGGTGTTTTCAAGTTCTTTGGATAGCAACATATTTTCAAGCACCATGTCTGACTGGGCAAGAGAAACAATAGAAAAAATTAACAAATGGGACTACATCAAACTAAAAAGCTTCTACACAGCAAAGGAAACCATCAACAAAACGAAAAGACAACCTAACAATTGGGAGAAGATATTTGCAAACCATACATCTGATAAGGGCTTAATCTCCAAAATATATAAAGAACTCATGCATCTCCACAACAAAAAAACTACCAACCCAATTAAAAAATGGGCAAAAGACCTGAACAGACATTTCTCCAAAGAAGATATACAGATGGCCAACAGACACAGGAAAAGGTGTTCAACATAATTAACTATCAGGGAAATGCAAATCAAAACTACAATGTGATATCACCTCACGCCCGTCAGAATGGCTATAATTAACAAGACAGGAAACAACATGTGTTGGGGCAGTTTTATACTATGTTTTGAGTTCTGAACTGCTGTTTGGATCTTTCAAAATTAGAATGTATTCATCTACTGAGTGGTGGAGAGGAGCCCAACTTTAGGGCCAGACTATCGGGTTCAAGCTCAGCTCTGGCACTTTCTCTTTATAGGGACATCAACACAGTGCTGGCTCTCTCAGCCTCAGTTTCTTCATCTGTAAAATAAGGGTGATAGTAATAGTGCCTACCTCATAGGATTTGTGTTAGGATAAATAAAATAGTACATGGAAAATGCTCTGCACAGTGTCTGGCAGTAAATGTCAGCTATTACACTTATGTAACCAAAAGGAAAAAATATAAGTAATAAGTCAAACAAAATATATTACCTAATTCCCAAAGTCAAATATCAAACTCAATC